TCCATCTCCTCCTCCTCCTCCTCCTCCTCCTCCTCCATTCCTTTTCCTTATTCGTAACTTCTCCTTGTCGCACCCCGAAGCCGGTCGAAAGGGCGGACAGGGCAATTCGCCTGAGACTTCCTCACCACTTATGACCCTGAAGTTTACTTATTCCCTACCTAGGCTCTGCCTAGAAGGATTCTTACTCTGTTGGCTTAAAGGGCCGGGCAATGGAAACCGCCCCGGGCGGTTCCCCCGGCATCCGCCCCGCGGTTCCCCCAGTTACGTCCCCTTAGCTTGGCGTTGCGTATCTCATCTTAGCTTAGCTGATTTCATCTTAGCTTAGCTTAGCTTCATCTTAGCTCAGGTTTATCTTAGCTTAGCTTACCTTCATCTTAGCTTCGCTGAGCTTTAGCATAGCAGAGCACAGCACATCATAGCATCGCGTAGCATATCATGGGTGTAATTCCCTACCTAGGCTCTGCCTAGAGGGTTAGCTTAGCTTAGCTTAGCTTAGCTTAGCATAGCGCAGCGCTGCATTAGCATAGCATAGCATAGCATAACATAGCCAGGCATAGCATATCCTATCATAACATAACGCAGCATATCATAGTATAACATAGCATAGCACAGCACGGCTTAGCATAGCATATCATAGCGCAACTTAGCATAGCATAGCATGCCATAGCATAACACAGCGCAGCATGACATAGCATAGCTTAGCATCGCATAGCACAGCATATCGCAGCACATCATAGCGTATCATAGCATAGCGCAGCATAGCATGGCATGGCATGGTATAGCATAGCATAGCAACTAATGCTGCTTTCCTAGGGGCTCCAACTTCTAGGTAGGGTCGCACTGGGGTAATTCACTGCGTGGGACTCCCCATCCGTGCATTGATTCGCATGGACCTGTCCGCCATGAGCGTCTAGGCGCAAGAGTTTCGACCTGAAGCCTCCTGGGGCCTCTTGGGGCCTCCTGGAGCCTCTTGGGGCTTCCTGTGGCCTCCTGAGGCCTCCTGGGGTCTCGTGTGGCCTCCTGGGGCCACCTGGAGCCTCCTGGGGCCTCCTGGGGAGGATTCGTGCCCCAGGAGAGGCCCACACTATAGGAACAGACGTACATAAAACACTGCGGATTGGAGCCGCAGGAGAAGGGCAATCTATAGGAACACACGTACAACACCAAGGGCTCGTGCCCCAGGGGAGGCCTAATATGTAGGATCATGCGTAGGACACTTAGGATTGGATGCACAGAAGAAGGACCATCTATAGAAACATACGTGAAGCACCACTGATTCCTGCTCCTGGGGAGGCCCAACCTATAAGAGCATACGTAAGCACATGGGATTGGAACCACTCCTGTGGCCTTCTGAGGCCTCCTGTTCCTGCCTCCTGGCGCTTCCTATGGCCCCCTGGTGCCGCATGGCGCTTCCCGTGGCCTCCTGGGGCCTCCTGTGGCCTCCTGTGGCCTCCTGGAGCATATTGGAGCCTCTCCTGAGGCCTCCTGGAGCTTCCTGGGGCCTCCTGGCGCCTCTTGGGGCATCCTGTGGCCTCTTGAGCCTTCCTGTGGCCTCCTGGTGCCTCCTGGGACCTCCTATGGCCTCCTGGGGCCTCCTATGGCCTCCTGTGGCATCTTGGGGGGGATCTGTGCCCACGAGTCTGGCCACCAAAACAAGCACACCGATCGAGACATCCTCAAACTCTGGCCCCTCTTGGGGGCGAAGGTCAGCGCCTCGCTCGAGACACCCTCAACATCTACTCCGAACGCGGAAGATGTTGTGCCACAAAACAGGCAAACCGCTCGAGACATCCCCGCAATTTTGGCGCGACCGGAGGAGTGCAATACCCCCTGGAGGCTCCCCGCTGGGGTTGCTGAAGCCCGCGCCTCGCTCGAGACATCCTCAGAATTAGCTCTGCCACCATCACCATCATCATCATCATCATCATCATCATCATCATCATCATCATCATCATCATCATCATCATCATCATCATCAGCATCATCATCATCATCATGACCATTATCATCATCATCATCATCACCATCACCATCACCATCACCATCACCATCATCATCATCATCATCATCATCATCACCATCGCCATCATCACCACCACCACCACCATCATCATCATCATCAGCATCATCAGCATCAGCAGCATCATCATCAGCATCAGCATCATCATCACCATCATCATCATCATCATCATCATCACCATCGCCATCATCATCAGCATCATCATCAGCATCATCATCACATCATCATCATCATCAGCATCAGCATCAGCATCAGCATCAGCATCATCAGCATCAACATCATCATCATCATCAGCATCAGCATCAGCATCATCATCATCATCATCATCATCATCATCATCATCATCATCATCATCATCATCATCATCATCATCATCATCATCATCATCATCATCATCATCATCATCATCATCATCATCATCATTCGTCGGCCCAACGGGCCCGAGGCGTGCTAAGATCTCCGGTAACTGGTTCACAATATTTCTAGTTCGCGCGCGCGGGGCGGCCCCTGGGGGCCCCCGGACGAAAAATATCCCGGCTAGGTCCCCGTCCACTCCCGATCCACTTCGGGCCCGCTCCCCCCAGAGCGCTCCAGGGGAGGGCAATTTTTCGACACACCTCACGAGGATCGTGGCCTCCGACGGGGGAGCCGCAATCGACTACCACCCCCCCCCCGCCCCAAGAGGCCCCTAAGAGCCCCCCAAGAGGGCCCAGGGGCCCCCAAGACGCCGCCAAGGAGCCCCAAGAGGCCCCCAAGAGGCCCCAAAGAGCGCTCCAGGGCTGGCGGAATGAGCGAAACGATTAAATCATCATCATCATCATCATCATCATCATCATCATCATCATCATCATCATCACCATCATCATCACCATCATCACCATCATCATCATCATCATCATCATCATCATCATCATCATCATCATCCTCATCATCTTCATCATCAGCATCAGCATCAGCATCATCATCATCATCATCATCATCAGCATCATCATCACCACCACCATCATCATCAGCATCATCACTATCATCATCAGCAGCATCATCATCGTCATCACCATCATCATCGTCACCACCACATTCACAGCATAACCTGACATACCATATTATGTGATGCCATACCACATCAATCCATAATAACATCATATCCCATACCATAACATTACGAACATGGTCACAACACTACATAACACACCACACCATCACATACAATAACATATCACGCATAACATCACATATCATATCACACAATATCATCGCATCACATGCCATACCATCACATACCACACCATAACATGAGATGGAATAGGAAGTGGGGGAGAGGAGGAGGTGGAGGTGTCCTCGGCGCGGTCGGAGTAATGACAAGAACCCCATCCTTTGGCAAGAACTTCGCAGATGGAGGGCGGGCCGTTTTTTTAATGTGGTTATCGCCTTAGCACCGCGCATGTTCCTTTATTAAAACATGCAAGAATGTCATGAGTTCCCATGGTCAACGTACCAGAAATTCTCATTGGAAGCGATTCATGGGGTGCAACACATACCTTGACTCGCGGTGTTGGAGTCCCAGGAATTGCGTTTTGGCACGATTCCGGATCGTCCAGACGCAACGGTCAGGTTGATCCGTGGCGTTGGAGTCCCGAGAGTGATGTCTTGGCATGCTTCGGGGTCTTCGAACGGTTGTCTTCCAACGAGGTAGTTCCCTCAGTGGAAATGAACCTTCGTACGGGCCTATCAATACACGGGCTGGCTTGGATAGCATATGGGGGGTCACCGAAGCTGTCCCCCCTGAGTGCCGTACCTCTTGGTATGCAAACGGCGCCCGGCGAAAACCGTGACAAGCCTGAGGGGGTATTCCGTGACACATAAAGTGTTCTTCGTGCAGGATATGGCTCTCAAGGCACGCGGCAAACTCCATACCACAAGAACGCGCATCTTCTATGCTGTGCTATGCTACTTTTGGGCGTGCTGGCCCATCCGCTATCGCTGCGGCCAGGGGCTGGCAGGAAAGACACGATAGCTTGCACCACAGATTGTGCGCCTGTGATTGGGAGAACCCTCACTCCGAGGAGAAGGTGGTGAGGAGGAGGAGGATGATGAGGAGGAGGAGGGCGCATTCGAATCTCACATGCTACCTCTTCTCCTGTCCCCACTGCCCCTGTCCTGCTGCATGCACTTTTTCCTCTCCGCACGAGACTGGGGATGTGCGGAGCCGAATGCCCAGGAACATGCGCCAGTCAACCGCCCTTGCACGGCTTCTCTGCGCAATACATTTACCCTACTTGTCCTACGTGTTGTTTTATCGACCGCAAATTGGGTCGAGGTGGGTGGGGCGATTTGCGGTCGGAGCAGGGCGCGCGCGGCCTGTTTGGAACTCTGGAGCCCAAAATGGCAATTGTCGCGCGCGCCCTCCCGAGTATTGGCCCGCTGGGTCCTCCCCACCAACCGATACCCAGCCACCCAATACATGGGCTGGCTTGGATAGCATATGGGGGGTCACCGAAGCTGTCCCCCCTGAGTGCCGTACCTCTTGGTATGCAAACGGCGCCCTGCGAAAACCGTGACAAGCCTGAGGGGGTATTCCGTGACACATAAAGTGTTCTTCGTGCAGGATATGGCTCTCAAGGCACGCGGCAAACTCCATACCACAAGAACGCGCATCTTCTATGCTGTGCTATGCTACTTTTGGGCGTGCCGGCCCATCCGCTATCGCTGCGGCCAGGGGCTGGCAGGAAAGACACGATAGCTTGCACCACAGATTGTGCGCCTGTGATTGGGAGAACCCTCACTCCGAGGAGAAGGTGGTGAGGAGGAGGAGGATGATGAGGAGGAGGAGGGCGCATTCGAATCTCACATGCTACCTCTTCTCCTGTCCCCACTGCCCCTGTCCTGCTGCATGCACTTTTTCCTCTCCGCACGAGACTGGGGATGTGCGGAGCCGAATGCCCAGGAACATGCGCCAGTCAACCGCCCTTGCACGGCTTCTCTGCGCAATATATTTACCCAGGCCCTGTGCCGCAGAGTTCACTGCGGATCCGGCGCTGCATCCCAAAGGTCTCGAGACGGAGTTGCTGCCACGGCCGCGGCCCCGCAAGCACACAGCTCCTCGCAGCTGCCTGTGGAGGGCCCGTCGGCTGGATTTGCGTCGGTGGGTACCCTGTCCTAGTACACCGCGATTCTGCTCGCCGCGCACCTCCTCCAGAAGAAACCCACCAGCTCGCATAGGTCTTCCTTGGCTGAGTAACCCTTAATCAAGGAGGCGAGTACGGCGTCTGAGTCGATAAACAGGAGTGCCCTCTTGCCTGCCAGCTCGTGCCTGTATTGGTCCACGACAAGCACGGCCGCGAAGGCTTCGACCATCACGATCTGCGTCTTGCGCGGCAGCCACCTCCTCATGAGGCTTTGGGGCACCTCCCATTTCCCGACGCTCGCCGCGCCCGACGACGTGTTCAGCACCAGCCACCCCACGCGTGGTTGCTGGTCGCACGCGTCGTCCCTCGGGTCCGGGAAGAAGCCGTCGGTGAAAATGACAACGTCGCTCTGGAGCCTGCCCTGCTTCACCAAGCTGCGTGGGACTCCTCTCGTCTCCAACAGCCAGAGCCAGAATTGCAGCGACCTCCGGAGGGCGCGATTCAGGCTGTGATCCCCTCCCCGTTGCCACTGGCGTTCCGCCAGCGCCCGCAGGAAGGAACGACCGAACCTCCCCCACAAGTGCGACGCCACGTGTTCCAGCCTTCCCTTAAGTTTCCCGGCGAATGCCGGCGTCAGGCAGTCTGTCGCGACCGCCTCGCCCACGGCAGCTTGCAGCTCGCGCCGCCTCTGCTCGGTGACCTCGAGCGTCTGCTCCTGCAGGTCGTAGCGAATGCCGAGGATGACGATGTTCTGCCCTCGCTGCAGCTTGCGCTTGGAGTACTCCACGCCCAACCAGCGGTGAACGTCTGCCACAATGTCGGACTCCTGCGCCGCGAGGTGCTTGTGCGTGAAGCCAAACTTGTCGTCGTAATAATTCCGCGCCAGCATGCCGAACACAACGATCAAGACGTCTGTGATGATAGCCGCCCTCCGGTTATAGTTGTAGACGGCGGAGACCAAGCCAGACGAATGTCCGATCATCACGAAGTACGCCACCTCGCCAGTGTCGGGCTCGGCCATCGCAATCACGGCGAACCTTCTATGGCGCGGCGCCACTGGCACCTGTCTATACGCGGCCGATTCGTCCAACACCCAGCCGCCAACCTGTCGGTGGCCCAACTTCTCGTGCAAGATTTTGAGGAGGCCGACGTTGGCGTCGGTGGACGGCAAGCGGAGCTTCTCAGTCGCGGCAGTCGCCAGGTTGAGCTGCGACCCCGCGCCTCCTGCCGCGTTGTCGATGCCCCTCGTCTTGCCCTTCTGCCAGAGCCCGAAACGCTCCGTGGGTACCCAGGCGCTGGTCCCGACAACCTCCGAGACCTCTTTCTTCGTCAAGAACGGCCCGATGCACTGGCCTCGTTCACGGTCAGCCAACGCATCGTCCCATAGCGCCTTGCGCAACTCGGGGTTCTTCTGCCTCGACACCCTCCTTGCGATCTTATCCTGCAATTCCCAGGCCCTTTCCCGTAGCTCCGCCTCGGAAATCGCAGGTGCGACGACCTCGTCAAGCGGCGGCCACCTGCCTGATGGGCGTACAGTGCCAATGACGGGCAGGCCGTGCGCGAACTCGTCGATGTAGCTGCTGTCCGAAACGTTTGCCGCGGCAGCAAGCTCTCGGTAAAGTGCAAGGTGCACGAAGTCGCCAAGCTGCACGTCTCTTCGTCGAGCCCGCGTGTTCTTCAAGAACAAATTCCTGATGAACGGGTCCGGAATGTTGTAGATCTCGTCCAGGCTGCGCTCCTTCAGCTCCGTGGCACGTTGCTTCCAGAACTCGTGCGCTGTCGCCTGGAACTTGCCGGCGGTGCCGCTCACCAGTCTCTTGACGCACTGCTGCTCGGCGTCCGTCAACGAGACGTCCACGTCAAAAGGGTGCTGCACTGCCAGAGCCCTGAGGATCGCCTCGCCCGGCTCCAAGTCCACCGGGAAGATCGGAGGTACCAAGCCGAGGCGCTGCTGGTACCACGCGCCGACCGCAACGTGCCCGGACTTCCGCCTTTTGCTGTCTGGCCAGCGAACTGGTTCGCCCACTTTGCGTTTCCGGCTGGCCGTCTTGAGGCCGAAGAAAGCCTGGAACTGGACGATTTGACCGTCGCTGTGGTTGCCCTGCTCCAGCAATTCCAGCAGCACGTCTGCGTGGCACGGGACGTCCGCGTCGCAGTGGCAGACCAGAATCTTGCCCCGTAGAGTGGGCAATTGCCGAAGCAGGCCCGGTTGTTGGAGCAAGAAGCGCCTGTACTTTTCGACGCACGCCTCCCTGGAAGAGCTGTGTCCCACCTTGAACGGGTTCGCCCAGATGGACCCCCGTAGACCGCGTGCTCGAGCAGACTGGCAGTCCCTGCCCACGTACACGTGGTCCGCGGTCATGGCATCAACGTGCTTCAAATTCACACGTCCACGCACTCCGGCAAAGTCCCGCCAAATGAACTCTGCGATCTTCCGCGACAGGCTCTGCGGGTAGACCAAGTGCAACTTCTTGGCTCGGGTCCATTGTCGGATCTTATCCAAAACTGTGACGTCGGAGACGTCGGTCGATTCGTGGCCCAGCGTGGCCTCGAGGTCGACGGGAGGGAGACACGGCACCCTACGATGCATTAGTTCATGAGTCGCATTCGCCTGGCCGCCGAAGACCTCCAAAAAGAAATCCGGGGCATCTTCTGGCGGCGTCGGCGGCACCTCGGACCACGTGCGCCACGGCATGCACGAGTCATGCGGCAGGGAGCTGCAATCAGCAACAGGCCTGGAACTGGCCAGGCCTATCGCTTCACCAGCGCTGCCCGCTGCATGCGTTACGCCGCGTTCTGGTCGGGCCTCGCTTCAGCCAGTGTAGTGAGTGTCACACCACTTGTGGCCAGCGCCGCACAGCCAACACACGTGCTTGAACTTGCACGCGCCGCCGTCTTTGCAGCCGCCGGACAGGTTCCAGAACTTGCACGTCTTCGGCGCCTTTGCTGGGCCACAGCGTTGCAGCGCACGCCACTCGTTCTCTGGCACCCTCCTGGTGCCACCAGCGGCTGGCTGACGGGTCTGGCCGCCGCCTGCTGCTCCTGCTGCTGCCGCCCGCTCGGCCTTCTGCTGCTGCTGCTGCCGCTGTCGTTGTCGTTTGAGGCTGCTCTTCGAAGGCCCGTCCGCCGGCCCCGCGGCGCCTCCGGGCGTCGCCTCGCCCGCCTCCCTCTCGCGCTTATGGTTGCGCTGCTGGGTCGCCCCGGGGCCTCCGGCGGACGTCGAAGCCTCTTTGGCCTCGGTGCGGCACTCGCTCCAAATGTACCGGTGGTTGTGGAAGACCTCCCATATGGCAGCGGAGTGCGACGGGAACGTCGTCCTGCTCTCCACCAGCAGCTCGTGGACCTTCTTGCGGAAGTGCCGGTCGACCAACAGAATGTACTGCAGTCCCGGCGTCTCGCGCCGCCGCACCTCCAGCTCTTTCAAAAACGTCAGCGTCCCGCCTGTGATGTCGTTGGTCTCTGGCTTGCCTGCAAATGAAGCGAACTTCACGTGGCCCTGGTACTCCAAAGCGATGTAGAACGCGTGGATCCTGTTGATGGCGTCGTCCTCCAAAACCACCGTCGCTGGGATGTCCTCGCGGGCCGCCTTGAGCAGCTGCTCCGCCGAAGAAGCCAAACCGCCCCTCTGCGCAATGTACTCGGACTTCACGCGCACCTCCCCGAGCTCATAGGGAGGGACCACTTCGTGGATAGTGAAGTCGCGGTCCAACCTCTCGATGAATCGCTTGTGGGGCTCGCGGAACTCTGTGAGCAGGACGTCCGGGTGCAGAGCGACAAAATTAATCTTCTTCTGGCCGTACTCCTGGATGCCCATCTCCGGGATGCGATGCGGGTCCTCCTCAAGGCGCGCGCGCCTTGTATCGCGCCCCTCCGCCAGGGCACGGCACTTTCGCCACGCGGCCGAAAGGTAGATCAAGTTCGCCTCCCTCGTCGGGCTGTTGTCCGCGCCCAGGGCCTGCTCGTCCAGGAGCCTCGCGATGTTCGTTTTGAAGCTTTCCAGCGTCTCCGCGACCGCCGCCCAGGTGTCGGCGTCCAGCAAGCCCTTCGCGGCAACCGCCAACCGAAGGTCAGGCGGCACGCGGACGCGCACCAGAATCTGCCGCACGGCGAGTTCTGGCGTGCCTTCCAGCGTGGGGTACGCTGTCGAGTCCACCATGGTGCCCGCCTGGGAGCGCGCGCGCGGCCGTTGCAGACGCAGCACCTGAAACGGCCGCAGCATGCCATGTCCGCATTCGCGCGTGCAAAGGCTGATGCGCGTGCGCACGCGTGCAGGTGAACCCGGCGCCGCCCCCATGCAGGCGCCCTGTCGCGCGCCTGGGCACCGCCTGTGTGGCAATTTCCAGGCACGCGACCCTCGTTAGACGCGCCCCAGGGCAGCCCCCTCGCAGGCTTTCCTGGGGCGCGCCTGGGCCAGCATGCGCCGCGGCCCCCTTGTAGGCCTGCAGCCGCCGCAGTATGCCTACCACACGTGTGTGTCCATACGCGTCATGTTGGGAACGCCCGAAGTGGCACATTTTGTGCCCCGGGCCCTGTGGGAGGTTCCCGGCGGGGCGCAACCGTCGCAAGAGCCCGCACGGGCGTCCCCTGGAAAGCACTGGCGAGGCGCGGCTGATGTGACGCCAAACCTCGCATGCCTGAAGTGATCCAAATTTTCCTGGTGACCTAAATGCAAACATGTTTGCACTTGGGCTGGCTCCCAAGGTGGATCCGGGACGCACCGATTCGTGACATTTAGTTTCTGCGCCAGACCTTCAGGAGCTCGAACACGCAACGAAAATGTCACGAATTTGGGTGCCCGTACTCGTGTTCGTCATCTCTCCCCTTCCCCGCGCGCCTCAGGGCTGCCCCCATCGCAGGCGTCCCTAGCGCGCGCGGTTTGGGCACGCGCTGTTGCTGTATGCGCCAACGCGCGCCGTGGCCCCCTTGCAGGCCTGAGGCCGCCGCAGGTTTGCCCCCCTTGCGGGCTCCCCTGCGCCGCTAAGCCGGGCGCGCACCCGGGCACCGCCTTGATGGCAGTTTCCAGGGCGCATCGCCGGATGCACCCCAGGGCAGCCCCCTCGCAGGCTTTCCTGGGGCGCGCGCCCCGGCCCCCTTGCAGGCCTGAGGCCGCCGCCTTTTTGCCCCCTTTGCGGGCTCACCTGCGACGCTAAGCCGGGCGCGCACCTGGGCACCGCCTTTATGGCAGTTTCCAGGACGCAGCGCCGTGCGCACCCCAGGGCAGCCCCCTTGCAGGCTTTCCTGGGGCGCGCGGTCGCTCCCATGCACTTTTGGTGCGCGCGCGCACATGGCTTGTGAGGCAGGTTTCGCTTGTCTGCCCTACGGGGTGGCGTAGTGGCTGCCCGAAGGGTCCCATCGAAGACTCTGCCGGAGCATATGCCATCACACGCAACATGTGGGAGAGATTGCGTTCAGACAATACTTTGGTGCATTCTGTCGGCACCAATGCGGCGGACAAATCGCGCCCCCCCTTGAATTCCCGGGCGGGCGGCAAGCCGACCGGAGAAGGGGCTCAAACTTGCAAACTTGTACCGACAGAGTTTGTGCATGCGGCACTGTCGCACAGCAAGTCCTCACCAACCGTGCGCCTGGGTGATAGCTCGGCATCTCTGAGAACAGGCAGGTCCGGAGTGGCGGGTAGCCCAAAGCCGGGCCGCCGCCGGTGAAGCGAGGAAGACGAACGCTGAATGACACATACATAAGGTGCACAATGCTACAAACCTGACTGATGTTTCCTCCTCTCTCTGTCTCTCTGTCTCTCTGTCTCTCTCTCTCTCTCTCTCTTTCTCTCTCCCTTTTCCCTTTTTTGTTGTGCATCCCAGGGCAGCCTCTTCGCGGGCTTTCCTGGGGCGTGCGGGCTGAGGCATGCACCCTTGCTGCATGCGCCCGCGTGCGCCCTGGCCCCCTTGCAGGCCTGGGGGCGCCGCAGGTTTGCCCCCCTAGCGGGCTCCCTTGCGACGCTAAGCCGGGCGCGCGCCTGGGCACCGCCCGAATGGCAGTTTCCAGGACGCAGCGCTGGACGCACCCCAGGACAGCCCCCTCGCAAGCTTACCTGGGGCGCGCGCTCACGCCCGAGGCCCACGGCTCCCTTGCAAGCCGAAGCGCCGCCACCGATTAAGGCGACGTCTAAGACGGATGCCTCGGAGCCGTTGCGCCACGGATTCTGCGTTCCCCAAGCTCTGGAAGCACGAGTAGGTTAGCTCCCGCGCGAAGGTGGGATGCCCGAGGCGCACACACACACACTCAATCATACCGCCCTCGTGCATTATTCTTTCTTTCCGCATCTTTCCCTGCCGAGCATGGAGCAAGATGAGGGAGCGGAAGAGAGGGGGGGAGGGATGGGGGGAGGTTTCCTCCTCTCTCTTCCTCTCCCTTTCTCTCTCTTGTTCTCTCTCTCTCTCTCTCCCTCTCCCTCTCTGTCTTTTTTTGTTTTTTGTTTTGTCTTGTTAGCCCCAGGGCAGCCTCCTTGCGGGCTTTCCTGGGACATGCGCTCGCTGTCGTGCACTTTTGGTGCATGCGCGAGTGTGCGTTCTGGCCCCCTTGCAGGCCTCGGCCGTCGCAGATTCGCCCTCCTTGCGGGCTCCGCATGCGACGCAGCGGGCAGCCCCCTAGCAGGCTGCCCGGTGACGATGCGTCACCGCCTTGAGGACGTGTCGCCAGGTCGCCGCGGATGTGCCTAAGACGCCGCTCCCTTGCAGGCAGCGCCTGCCGCGCCAGGCGCAAGCGGCGGCCGCCTTTTCCATCATTCACAGCCAATCTCTGGCGGGCGCCTCGTCCTCCGGCCCCGCTGCCGCCGCCTCGGGGCGACAACGGACGCACCTATCGCATAAGCGGCCGCGCTCAGGCCAATCTGAGCCTAAAGGCACGCACTGAGCCAGCGGGACCGCGTTGCAGGCCAGCTGGTTCGGCTTGTCGAGGGGCACGACGTGGAACCGGTAGTCGCTGTTGGGGTAAATCTCCGCCTTCTCGCTCACCCAGAAGCACAAGTCGGTCACGTCGTAATCGGACTCCATCTCCACATCGACCTCCATGGGGTGCGTCTCCGTGTCCGCGAGCTGCGCAGACGCGACCCTGTCTGCATCCGCGGCGCCGCTATCCACGACAGCCTCGCTTTGCGTGCCCGAGGTGCCCGCGCCCTCTGTGGCGAGAGCCCCGTTCAGATTTTCCTTGATCAGCTTATCCGCTTCGCCGGCGAGCTTCATCTCCCAGTTCTGGCGCATGGCGCGCGCCATGCTGGAGATGAAATTTACGGGGATCTGCTTGCGGTCCCTGATATACTTGGCAGGCATCCTCGTGTCCCGCCAGTTCCCCTGCAGCTGCAACGTGGTGACCTCAGCGCCGGCGTGGGCCATGAGGGAGATCGCCGTCACCCTTGGGGAGTGGGCTGTGGTCGCCGTGGTGTGGTCCCATATGGCCGACACAGCCTCTGACGTGAACTTCAAAGGGTTCTCTGCCAATGCCAGAGCGGTCAGCTCAAGCAGCATGCGCACGAACCTCTTGCTGGTGAGGGGCACGTCGAACTGCATTTCAGCCACCGTGCCATCAACCAGCCAGGGATCAGACTGTAACGCCCCCGTAGGCAACATCGCCTTGTAGAGATCTAGCCCTTCGGTGACCCAGTCCACTTCCGTGAGCGTGGCTTTGCAAACTGCGAACTTCGCGCCGCGTCTCTTGCGCTCGACCTTGGTCTGCCATGCCACAAACCGTACTGCATTGCCCACGTCCTCGATGCTGTCTGGGCGGACGTGCAAAGCGTCGTCGAAGCGCATGCTGCCCCACGTCATGCAGAGCACTTTCCACGCCCGTACCGCCCGAACGCGGAAGCCATTTGCCTTCCACGCGATCACATTCAATTCCAAGACACGCAACAAGTCAACGTGCAACGGCGCCGCTTCCTTCAGCTCCCGGCCGACTTTGTCATACACGTTGCTCTCGATGGCCAGAAACGCGGACGTTGCCGTATCGGGCACGCGCATGCCAATGCGCCGGGCCACCCACGCAACAGTGGCGCGGAAGGCTGGCAGCACTGATGGGCCGCAGCGCTGGCCCCGATGTGCAGCGTACGCAACTAACAAGGCATCGCTCGGCGGGTACACGCTCGACTTATTGGCGGCCCACCGTTCGAACCGCTCCCAGTCGAGCACGTGTCCCTTCAGCGTGGAACACGCCCCTCGCGCCAAAACCGAATACAGCAGGTCCTGAAGGTTCATGTCCGCCATGTCCGCGGCAGGCCGGAGGTCCGCAACAACAGACGCCGCCTCGCCTGCCCTGTCGACGATGGCCAAAAGACGCCTGACCCACCGCTGCTTCGCATCGGCTTCGGCCTTGCGCAAGGAGAAAGCGCCAGACTCGTCCCTTGGAACTCCCAGTCCGCGTCGCGTGCTGCAAGGTGTCCTGGACCGCGCCCCTCCGGCCCGCCTGGCGCACGCCACGCTGTGCACCTCGCACTTGTCGGAGCGGCGCCCAATGTGCAAGGTCTCGCGCAATTCCTTCTCGTTGTCCGCTGCCGCTTTTGGCGCCATAGCTTGAGAAACAGCGAACAAGTAGTCTAACTTTTCGGCCTGCGCCGCAATCAATGCCGGCCATCCGTCAGCAGGTTCAGGCTTGCCCTGCGACAGGCAGACCGAGCCTTTGCGAAAAGCGTCGCTGTCGCTTTCGCTGATGGCCAACACCATGTCGATTGAATCCACTCCTACACGTTCCAAAAGTTGCTCAAAGGCTTCGCCGCCCTGCACGACATGCAAAACACGAATCCACGAGCTCTCCATGGCCCGACGATTTGCGGTCGGAGCAGGGCGCGCGCGGCCTGTTTGGAACTCTGGAGCCCAAAATGGCAATTGTCGCGCGCGCCCTCCCGAGTATTGGCCCGCTGGGTCCTCCC